AGATTTATCTCTCAGCAACGCCCACGTACATTCGGTACAGCCACATTAAAACTAACTGGCCGTCCTTACTGGCAGGCAGTCAATGATGGCGGTGCATTAATGGAATCAGCCTTATCGGTGCTCTTTCGGTGCAGTGTCGGTGCAGGTGCAGGTGGTATTGTTTTCTCTGTGGGCTGCAGCAAAAAGAGTTCATTTTTTTTTTGATCTAGTGAATGAGAGAGGTGCTTTAGATGTGCTAAGTGAGTTTCTGATGTTTGAAATTGTCGTATGTGCGAACTTAATGGAAATCAAAGAGCTCCAGTTTCAATAACATCAGCAAAATTGCAGAAACTTAAAAGAACTTTAGTGGGGAATGACACTGATTAAGACTGCACATTGTAGTAGAAATACGTATCTGTCATAGATACCAAAATGAATGAGGTAGAATTAAATGGAAGATAATCTTTTTTGCTGTTTTATTTAGGAATTCCGCTAACAACCCAATGTCATTACTTCATTAACAGAACTTGCCAAAACTAAAGTTGAGTTATAGGATCTTGTTGGTAGTTTCATAGCATCGAGCAGTTATGAGATCTCAGACCATGATTTCAGTGCTTTCCCGATTTTGTCTGCCCTTCTCAAATTTCGGGGAAAAATGTTCCATTATTTTTTTGATCAAAATTATTACAGAATAATGAAATTCTTATAGGGTAAGGGGTGCTATGGGATAACATGACCAACGGCGCTTATTTAAGTGTTTTGCAAAGCAAATTTAATGGAGATTCACCCGTAATCACTAGAAGAGCTGCGGGACAGTCATCTGGGAAATTTTTTGTATGAATTTATCTTTTAATAGTACGAGAAAAAAACACTGTTGGTAATAAAACACCGGGGTGCGTTTTACCCCTTTTTGTCCTACATATGGCTATTATTTGTAAAAACTCTTATAAACCATCAAATACTTAGAATTATTGAATCAATTTTCCTTTTTTTTTTTCTTCCTTTGGTTTGTTTTTTCCGTCGATCTTGTTTTCCGTGCTGAGCACCATTGCTACCGACGTGCCAGGAAGGCAGCTCCCACACCTGGACCCTACCTATCGACCCATCAACTCATGAACCGGGGACCAACGGCTTTCTTCCCATCCGAAGGAAGGCGTGATCAGAGATGTTATGCCTCAGAACATCCCGGCGGCGCCGACTGGGATTGAACCCAGGCCTGCTGGGGTAAGAGATAATCACGCTTACCACTACACCACCGGCGCCGTTGTCATCAATTTTCCTTTGACGATAATGAAATTCGTATCAACTTTCAAAGCAAAGAAAATGGGAGGGGGGTGGGGGTCAAAAATCCAGACCTGTATCGAAGTTGGCACGGGTTTGTATCCGCTAGTTGCCTAGTGCAGCTCCACTAAAACCCATTTCTTACTCTCTCCTCTGCCTGGATCCCCCCGGGACCACGGTGAAGCGACTACTTTGAAGGGGCTGTGCTCATGCCCTTCTCATACTCTCAGTGCTAGCTGGCGTTGCTAGATCACTGCTCATCTTTCCATTCCAAGTGTCTTCCTCTGGACACATCTCATCGACGAAATTCTCCACGTTAAGGACAGGCATCTTCCTTCCGACTGTCTCGCACCATGGACAGTCAAAGACCACATGCTCCGGTGTTTGTTAAGAGGTGGAAGCAGTACTATGACGAGCACCTCAACGGTGAAGCAGCAGAAAACGAAGGTGGCACGGCAACAGACCTTGGAGCACGCGCAGAAGACGACAGGCTACCGGCCCCTGATCTTCAAGAAATTGAGGAGGAGATCGGTCGATTGAAGAACAACAAAGCAACTGGTGTAGATCAACTATCAAGTGAGCTATTAAAATACGGTGGTGAAGCACTGGCTAGAGCGCTGTACTGGGTAATTGCCAAGAGTTGGGAGGAGGAGATAGGTCGACAAGTTGGATTGCTGCAACTACCGCGCGATCACACTGCTGAGCGCCGACTACAAGGTACTCTCCCAAATTCTATGCCGCCGCCTGTGACCATTTGCAACTCCGTGGGGCAATACCAGGCGGGATTCATGGGTGCCCACGCTACCACGGACCAAATTTTCGCGATTCGGCAGGTTCTGCAGAAATGCCGTGAATACAACGTGCCCACACATCATTTGTACATTGATTTCAAATCCGCATACGACACAATCCATCGAGATCAGCTATGGCAGATTATGCACGAGTACGGATTTCCGGATAAACTGACGTGATTGGTCAAGGCGACGATGGATCGAGTGATGTGCGTTGTTCGAGTATCGGGGACACAGCTCTCAGAAGAGCTGGGATAGACACGAGTAGCACGATCTTCAGGAAGTCCAACCAGCTTCTTGGCTTCGCCGATGACATTGACATCATGGCACGGAACTTTGAGACGATGGCGGAAACGTACATCAGACTGAAGACTGCAGCTAAGCGGATTGGACTTGCCATCAACGCATCAAAGACAAAATACATGAAAGGAAGAGGTTCCAGGGAAGACAATGTTAGCCTCCTACCCCGAGTTCAGATTGACGGTGACGAAATCGAGGTGGTCGATTAGTTCGTGTATTTGGGCTCACTGCACGCCGAAAATGATACAAGCAGAGAAATTCAAAGACGCATTATGGCAGGGAATCGTGCCTACTTTGGACTCCAGAGGACGCTCCGGCCGAATAAAATTCGCCTCCGCACGAAGTTGACTGTCTGCAAGACGGTGATTAGACCGGTGGTTCTCTACGGCCATGAGACTTGGACTATGCTCGTGGAGGACCAACGCGCCCTTGGTGTTTTCGAATGGAAGGTGTTGCGTACCATCTACGGTAAAGTGCAGATGGATGGCGGAACGTGAAGGAAGCGAATGAACCACGAATTGCACCAGCTGCTGGGAGAACCATAAATCGTCCACATTGCAAAAATTGGGCGACTACGGTGCGCTGGGCACGTCGTAAGAATGCCGCACGACAACCCAGTGAAAATGAAGGCGCGCAGCAGGCAAGGTGGATCGACCAAGTAGAAGGCGACCTGCGGACCCTTCGCTGACTACGAGGCTGGCGAAGTGTGGCCATAGATCGAGTAGAGTGGAGACAACTTCTTCGGACAGCAGAGGACGTTTCATCAACGTTGTCACACTGCGTTACGCTGGGTGTCCGAACCGATGCAGGTATTTCCTGAGGCAGCCGTGGCCAGACAGGAACTGCGTCAGGTGGTGGTGGTTGACTTCTCCGTGTTTTATGTTCACCTAAGAATCGATAATAACCGATGTGTCCATCTACCGTTATCCACCGTGTGTCACTCCTATTGCCACTTTTCCAAAGACTCCGCTTTCACCACTTTCCGTACTCTACCGGCTTCTCTCCGACTGTAGCACTCACTGTTCTCCGCCGGGTGATGCCGATAGGAATCATTCATATTTATGCACTCACGACTCGCTTGGCCATAAGCCGAAAAGTACTGCTCAGTTTCCTTTGGGTCTGCTTCGTTTCCAGTGCTGCAAACCAGGCTGGACCTCCATTCTAGCTATTGTGTTGATGGCCTTCGAAGCATTCTCACAGATATATTCGACGTAGCTGGTAAAGTTTAGCCGGTCATCGATCACCACTCCCAGGTATTTCAACATGGCGTGCGTTGGACCAAGGATGGAGCCTTGTGGACCTTCCGCTGAGATCCTAATCAATATCTGTCCCATGTCTGTCTTGTAGACCAGAACCAGGTTCTGGAAGTAGCTCCTCAGAATCCTGTCCAGGTAGTCAAGGACCCTCATTCTATGCAGCGCTTTGGCAATGGCTTTCCAGCTGCGCTGTTGAACGCATTCTTGACGTCGATCGTTATCACGGCGCAATATCGATCGCCTCTTCGCTTCTCTTTGGACGCCTTCTAGGCTCTCTCGACCATTGTCCGAATTGCACCCACCGTTGATCTCCCTTTCCGGAATCCAAACTGCCTGCCTCCCCGACAATCCAAAACAAAAGCTGATAGGGCTGATTAAGTTGAAACATTGTCCCTTTCAATTGACGATGTTGTATATCTCCGTTGAATTCGAGAATTTTGGATGTTGAAATCTCCTGAAAATTGAAAGTCAATCAAAACTTTTATGTACAATTCAATGAAATATGTAGGGGGATTAGGGGCATAATGAACACACGGGGCGAAATGGACACCCTCAAAATAACAAAATCTTTTAAATTTAAACGGAAATGTAAGTTGATAATCATTTTTACCACTATCAAACATATAATTTTTCAATAGAATAGTTGATATCCTCTATTAACCACCGAAATATATGAAAAATTAGAAATCATAACCCAAGGGTTTGAAATATTATAATTTCTAACCAGAGCAAAATAAGGTTTTATACCGTGCCGATTCAAATTTCGGACACTTAAACTCGAATTTCGGACACTTTTAAAAGTTGATTATCTCGGTCGAATATGATCCACATGTCTTGTAAATTTTAAATTTTTTTGACTAGTGCCCTCCACGATCATCTAACATTATTACTTTGTTTCTAACTGGATGTAATATTTAATTAAAAATGAAAGTGTCCGAAATTTGAATCGTCCGAAATTTGAATCGGAACGGTACCCCGTTCACATTAAAGCCTATATCACGTAATATAGGCTGTCTTGCAATGAGCACTCAAACATAGGATTTCCAGTGAAAACTAGATGTATGAGTGGTCATTGCAAGACAGCGTATATCACGTGATATACGGTGTAATGTGAACGGGGTATTACGAACGTTTCAGAATATTTATTATCAATTACCTACTTGTCCCAAACACGTTCTTTGTATCGCTGCTGAAAGTTGACATTAATCACAATATTGTTTTTGCAATAATTTATTTAAAAAAAATGCATTCAAATTAATATAGTCGATTAGGGGCGAAACGAACACCTCTAGTAGGGACAAAATGAACACCACTTGTTTCTGGAATCTAACCTCAACGCCCACTTTGTTGACTTGTTTACATTGTTTACCTATGCAGTGTTTTGATGGCAGTGATGGTGCGAACGTACAAAAGACAATCGGGAAGGCAGCAGTGGTCCAAAACGGCCATGGAAGCGGCCATAGATTCTGTCCGCCGGAGTGGAACGTCCATCAAACGAGCAGCCAAGGACCATGGAATTCCAAGACCTACGCTGATCCGCTATCTGAAAACTGCAGAAGTACTGGGCCAGGAGGTGAAGCAAATCGGCTCATTCAAAACAGTTTTCATACCTGCCGGCCCACATTTTGGACTTTGAGGTTCGATGCTACGGAATTACCACCCGCGACATCCGGAGCCTTGCCTTCCAGCTGTCCGAACGCAACGGGAAAGCACATGAAAGCATGACACGAAGACACAGCTGGCTGGTAGGGATTGGCTTCACGGCGTCATCCCAAACGCACGCTCCGTACTCCTGAGGCTACCTCAGCTGCAAGGTTGCAAGCATTCAACAAGATAGCGGTCGACAACTTCTTCGATGTGCTGCATCGTGAAATGGACGGAGGCAAATTCAGTGCCAGCAGGATTTTCAACGTTGATGAAACCTCTGTGCTCACCGTAAGTTGTACACATTTTCAAATAAAATGCATGTTTTGACTCATTTTGTATTCTTAGGTGCAATAGGCGGAAAGAGGGCTACTTTCCACTGCAAGCATTTGCATGTTAGCAACGGGACATATACTGCCACCTATGATGATATTCCCTAGGGCCCGTTTGACTACCAGTCTTATGGAAGGTGCTCCACCAGACACGGTATTTGTCTGCAACTCTTCCGGTTGGATGACTGTAAAAGAATTCAACACCTGGTTCGAGTATTTTCTAAAGCACACGCGTCCAACAGCTGATAACCCGGTTCTTTTGATTTTGGACGGTCATTCTTCGCATACGAAGAACCTTGGCTTTATTGAAAGAGCGCGTGAGTGTCATGTGACAGTCGTGTGCTTGAAACCACCCCCCCCCCCCCATTGCAGCCACAAACTACAGCCTCTCGACATAAGCTACATGGGGCCGCTCAAGACGGCTTTCTCGAAGGAAGTGGAGAGTTTCCACAAATGCAATCCTGGTAGGTTATCACCCTGAACGAAATCAGCCGGCTTTTCGATTTGGCTTTCATGAAGACTTCTAACGCGGCTCTTGGTGTCAACGGATTCCGTAAGGCAGGAATTTTTCCGCTGAACCGGTTTATCTTCAACGATAATGATTTTGCGCCGGCTGACGTAACGGACGTTCTTCCAGCAGACCCAGAAACCGATCGTTCAAAAAATGAACTTGGTGACGAAGCTCTTGAATCCAACGCAGCCGATACTGAAGCAGGACCTTCGCGAATGCACAATGAGGTAGGAGATATCAACGATTCACTGTCAAACGAAAAGGAAAATATCGTTCCAAAAGGGATTGTAAAAGTGGATGCTAACAACATGCTGACTCCGAAAGCTACTTTGGCGCCGTTGGATTCGAATGTTCCAGCCGGTTTGTCTGTCCGAAGCATCTTCAAAGTGTCTGCTGCGGAAATCCTACCGCTACCGAAAACAGTTACCAGAAAAGTTGGCGGTGGACGAAAGAGGGAAAAAGCTCAAAACATAACGTCAAGCCCCAGCCGAAATGAGTTGAAGTCATCGCAGGCATTGAAGGATATTGATCAGCTAAAGAAGGTGATCAAAGCTGAAACAAGACACATTTCTAACAGTGATGCCGAAACACCTAAACGCAAACGAGAACGTCCGCAAGGAAAGAGCAATCAAACTAAAACGGTGCTTGCCCAAGATACGCTCTGCGAAGTATGTGGCTGTTGTTTCAGTTGATCTGACAAAGGACAGGATTGGATCAAATGTTCCAAGTGCTGCTTGTGGTTCCATGAATGCCAGGACTCTCGCTGCCCTTCGTGTGCCTTTCAATAAGGCATCAATTTGTAGCTAATCTTCATTATGTGATTGTTCATGAATTGGTTTTATTTTCTTTATTTCGGTAACATCACCAGAGGTGTGTTCGCCAATGAAATTGAATTGAATTAAAAAAAAATCTGTTACTGTTTTGGTTGAAATCTGATTAGTTTTACTTAAAATCTTACTAAACTGACCCCACTGTCAATCATAATTTCAATAATAGTTTTAGAATCGGGCTCTCATCATGTCAATCAATTGCCGTGATTCAATAACTACTTACTTTCCAGGGCACTTTTCGGTATGTAAGCACCTCTCGTTAAGGTAGTTAATCATGAGCATTCTCCATTAGACCCCCTATACCAATTGAACTTATTCTACATACTCTTTTGGAGTTGCTTATTGACCTATACGAAGTAAAGCTTAAGAAATGTCTCCCCTATGTTCTCGTTTTTGTATGTAAATATGTATGTGTGTGTATGTGTGTGTGTGAGGGTTGTATGTATGTGGGAGGGATGGGGACATGTTCGCGTAGGTATGTACATATGTTATAGAGTCAATTTCTGAGTCTAATCCAGTTTTTAGCAAGGTGTCCATTATGCCCCATAAGGTATCCATTATGCCCCATAAGGGTGTTCATTTCGCCCCGTACCCCATCCACCAACCCGGTTTACAAAGAAGTTTTCAAATTGTTTTTACAGACTTAAATTTACTATTTTATTGCTGAAAACGATTGGAGTGTATAGTATATGGTTATTATTTGAGGTTTGACTATTACGGGTATTTTACACTCATAAAATGTATTTTCCTTTAAGGTGTTCATTATGCCCCTAATTCCCCTAATGCTCTTTTTTTATTTTATCTTTTTATTTTTTTTTTAAATGTTGCTGACAATGACAATTGCAATTATTACAATTGCAAAAAAAAAGAAACAGGTTTTCCGTGGCAAAAAATATATTTTTTTTTTTTTTTTTATTATCACTTTAACACTCTTGGGTTATTCGTGACTTGTCCGGGGGTGAGATTTGAACTCGTGACTTTGGCGTGAGAGGCATGGATGTTAACCACTACGCCGGGGTTGCCCCCAGCGGCAAAAAATATTTTTCCAGCAAACAGCAATTCAAAACTAATAATTATTGTAGGAAAACATTAAATTAATGTAAATGAATTAAATGTAAAAGTTACATTGAATGAACGATGGTGGATCCAAGATAGCCGCACTGCAAAAATGGCGTGTTTTTGTTTAGCTACGTTGTTTCGTTCTAGTGAAAATGTTATAAATTTACAATTTCATTTAGTGTTAATTTGAAAGTACAGAAGTGATGTTGAAAAGTGCATTGAGTGTAAATTTTCAAAATCCTATCCGTTGCATGTCCGACTGTTCTAACCTACGCCTAGCTACGCTCAGCTAAGTTTATTTACCATTAAGTTCCTCTGTCTTCGATAGGAAATATCCATCTAATTGAAGACGATTATTTCAAAACTTACTAAATACGTGTCAATCATGTATTGCACTACTGCTTGATTGAAAGTTTCAGTACATTATCAATGGTGTATATTTGCATCGATATTGTATTGGAGCGGGGCTTATCATGTGTGAAAATAGGTTCGGAATGCTTGCGTTCTTGAAATGGGCTATTGTAGCTGCGGTGGAGCTGTCACCTTCTAACTCCCGGGTTCAAGCTTCTTTGCAATCATAAGAAATGATTGCAGGCAGATTTTATCCATAATATCACTGCCAGACAGTGGAACTTAGGCCAATGGCGAATCTGCATTCTAATCTACGATTCCACATACTATTAATAACCTTTTACACATGAGAACCTCCTATGGATCAGAATGAATTGTGCATATGTTTAGGATCAACACACATTTTCAGGCGCAAAGGAGCAACAGGATCGAGCTGATAACGTTTCTTAATCCCAAAATCTGAAGACTATTTGGAAAAATATGTTTAGGTAATGGGCAGCAACAACGGACCGATAAACTACTTTCAGCTTCTATTTATTAAATGCTTGATATAATGATTGCCAGCAACGCCGCATGGGCGTATCCTATGGCTTACCCTCCCTACTAACAAAAATCCACCCTTCCCGTGACACTTCTGATGGGTCGCAGAGTTCTCTGCATCTCTCTAAAGTAAGTGTCGGACTAACATTCCTCCCCTTTTCCCAACAGATGCAAGGACGTGGCCAGGACAGGGAGGGAGACACATCTAAGAGGTAGTAATTAATCACAAATTACTATCTAACAGCAACGGATGAAGGTGGGTCTCCCTCTTACCAACAGTTTGGAGCTCGTACCACCTACGACATTGTGCAACCTGGTTTATACTATGCTATGCTACGCTAAAAGTTACATTGAATGAAAGACCTGAACTTTGAATGGATTGATATATGAATGGAAAAGCACTTAAAATCGTCAATTGTTAATTTTACCCCGTATGCACATTTTATCCCCGCTTCCCCTAACATTCACATTTCTGCAAAGTTTAAGAATAAAAATTATTCACAGCGTAAAGTTTGAGAATTCATGTTTAATAACTCAACAATTTAGTGAAATCTGCAGGCTGACAAAATCGGGAGCTGACAAAATCGGGAAAGCACTGTATAAGGAAAATTGCGGGAATTTTAGGGAAGCGTTCCCGGGTGAATTTATAAAACCATTAGGGCAGTCCCATAGAACTCAGGAAACTGTTGGGAATGTTCCAAAAATTACAGTGAGCATCAGGGAAATTTAGAGATCATAAGAAAAAAATTCTCGAATTTCTCTGAAGTTGCGTGAAATACACGGAAATTCCGAAAACGGTAAGAAGTTTAGAGATTTTTCGGTTAGTTTTATTAATTTCCGGGCAATTCCAGGAACATCATCAGGTAGATAGCTAGAGTAGCGAGAGCTTCAGGAAAGATAAGAGTACTTCAAAGCGGTGTCGGTGGTGTAGTGGTAAACGTAACTGCCTCTCACTCCAAAGGGCCTGGGTTTAATCCCAGTTGACGCCACCGGGATGATCTGAGGCTTAAAATTTCTGAAAACGCCTTCCTTCAAAAGGGAAGTAACGGCGTTGGTTCCCGGTCCATGGGTTTGATGGTTCGATAGGTAGGGTCCAGGTGAGTGTGCTGCTTCACTGGCATCGGTAGCATTGGTATTCAATATGAAAAACAAGATCGACGGAAAACAAATCAAGGAAAAAAGAAAAGAACAAAAGGGTTTGCAAAAATTAAAAAAAAAAAGAGTTCGAAGAATTCAAGAAAATTCCGAGGGTTTCGGGAAAGTGTCATGAAGAGACTGCGGAATAATAAGGGAACTTCTGTATAATTTTAAGCATATCAGCCTCAACTTCAAGGTGGAGCCATCAGCTCAAAGTAATCTGCAGTATCTTTTATGAAGTTCTATGACTTCATGGATATCCATAAAAGTACAGAGATTTCAAAAAATGATCTGAGGAGAAGTTTGCAGAACTTTAGAAGAATTTAAGAAAGCTAGCTCTAGAGATCTCACGATATTAAGTTCAGACTTTCGAGGAAGTTTAAAGATCTGTAGTTTTTGGGAGAGAATAATGAGTAGTACTAAGATCTGTAATGTAAAATTCTATAAATTCAGCACAGCACCATGAGCTTCAAGAATATTTTAAGAAACTGAAAGGAGTACCAGACATTTCAGGGAATTCGACAGAACTTCAGTTTCATTATTTTCAGAGATGTTGCGAGTATTTCGAGCAGCTTCATTAAATAATTACAAGATCAGTGCCGCGGAATTTTAGAGTATTCCTAGTGCTTCAGAAATGTTCCAAAAATTTCAGGAAAACTGTGAGGTCTTCAAAAGAGTTCCATGAAAATTTCAGAAACATTGTTGGACCGTTAGAAAAGTTTCGAGAACATTTTGAAAATTCAAGGAACTTCGTGAAGGAACGAAAACTCCAGGCAAGCTGATAAAAGCTATATATTTTTCCCTTGATTTGTTTTTCGTACTGGGCACCAATGCTACCGATGTCAGGGGACCGGGGACCAACGGCTTTACTAACCGTGATCAGAGATTTTATGCCTCATAATATCCCGGTGGTGCCGACTGAGACTGACCCCAGACCCTGTAGGGTGATAAGCAGTGAAGCTTCCCATTACACTACCGGCGCCGCTTGGGAATTATATAGATTTTAAAGGATGTTCCATGAGCTTCAAGGAAGAAGCATAAAAACATAAGGTAAATTTCGGGAGCTTCATCATCGACCGAACAACTTTAAGGCAGTTCAATTATCTTCAGGATCATTACGGTAACATTAAAAAGTTTTGATAAATTTTGGTTAGTCTAGAGAACTTCATTGGAGATTATAGACCTTTAGAACAGATCCTTAACTTCAGGAAAGCACCGAAAACTGAAGAATACTGTAGACTTATGGAGAATTTATAAAATCCAAAATGTTGTTTTAGTTTTTCAGTCTACAAAAGTGTTGGTTACAGTTTGATCATTGTCGATGTTTCGATCCAGTATAGATTAGGGTTAACTACCCCATTTCCGACCTATTAAGCACAACCCGCACTTAGTATTTCTTAATCTAGTGCAGTTTATCACCAAACGGGATGTTATTATTACTGATGGCTTTCTTTCCATACGTACCGTAAGATTTGATAAAGAGAACCCAATCGTTGAGATATTGTCAAAAGTCTAATACTGCTTCTTGACGCCAAACTTGGCCTACGGATTCTAAGCTCGGCCTAACGCATTGAAACGCAATTGAAACGCCAAAGAATTCACTTCGGCCTATCGGATGAAGATAAAAATTGATTCGGTCGGAGCGCTTCTTTTGTTTTGGGGAAAAATGGGTGCAAACCATCATATCACGCGTTCTCAGTGACTTCGTTCCGTATCTTATAAACTAAAGTACCGAAACAAACGCATAAATG